AAAGTTGCAGGCAAAAGGGGGACCCCCCCCCCAAAAAAAATGGCACGCAGTTAATGAATGCCGGCTTCAAATACGAACCTGAAAGTCGCACTTGGATATTACGCAACTATTTTTCAACGCGGTGGTACGATAGGGTTGCAAGAAAGGGGCTTCAAATCAAATCTCATATTTTTCCCTCTCATATTTGTAATTTGAATAAATGTGTCCTATTTTGCTTCTACAAAAAGCAAAGACAACGGCAAGTTTTGCGGAGGTTTTTTTTCTCTTCCGTCCTGGGATTTGGTTTTTGCATGTTTTTGGAGTGTCTTCACTGCATTTAAATAAAGCAGAACTTAAAGAGAAGGGTAAAATATTTTTCTTTACGTATGTGTGAAAATAATGTGGCAAGATGTCCTTCACTCAAAAGAGGAATTAAAAGCTGCGAGGCTCGGTCGATCCAAATGTCGGTTGTCTACAAGCAACACGGCATCCCCTTTTGGCTCCCCTCACACAGTTTCTCCTCGTGTACAGTTTGCACTGGCGAGGCGAGAAATCCCCCGAAAAATATTTGCATGATATATTAGGATGATAATGAAACCATGCCTTTTGTTTTTGCACTGTCGATGAATGACTGCTTTTGTGTCTTGGGCAAAGCTGCCTTCCACCAGGTTCCTTTCTTCTCATCAGCACAACAAAGTGGAAACGGTTTTGCTCATTCTTACTGTTGCCCCCGAAAAATATTTGCATGATATATTAGGATGATGATGATGATACTATGTGTTTTGTTTTTCCACTGTCGATGAATGACTGCTTTTGTGTCTTGGGCAAAGATGCCTTCCACCAGGTTCCTTTCTTCTCATAAGCACAACAAAGTGGAAACGTTTTTTGCTCATTCTTACTGTTTTGCTGTGAGGATTAAAGCCACTAGTCATTGAAAAAATTAGAAAAAAAAAGGATAAGAACGTTGCAAAAGTCGTACTTTGGCAAAATTGACTTTGCTTTTCATAATCTAGCTCCCTTGTGTTGGCAGCCATGTGGTTAGTGTCAGCGGCCGGATTGCAAAAAAAAAAAAAAGGAAATAAGGAAAAAATCAACTGGAATAAATCACAAAATCTGATGTATCGCAAAGCCCGAACAGTGTCCAACCTCTGTGTCTTCGAAGCATGTCCGAGGCGTGACCCCTCACAGGAAATCAGTTCAGGCTGTTGAGCATCCCAGGCCCCCCCCCCCCCCCACACACACACACACTCTGGGCTCTGGCTCAAGTGACCATACAGCACCTCACATGTGGGCCCTTTCGGACTACATCCTCTACAAGGCTGCCCGGCCGTCTGACGTCCTCTTTTCATCCACTCTAGCACGCCCGCGACCCTTGTGAGGAGAAGTGCTGTTGAAAATGGATGGAAGAGGAAATATATGATATCTAGGCATCCATTTTCTACATCATTTATCATGAACAGTGTTCGGGTGTGAGGGTGCGGGGGAGTGCCTTCAGCTGATTTCTGGCGGATTACACCCTGAACTGGTCGCCAGTCAGTCGCGAGGCACATACAGATACAAACAACCATTTACATCCACACCATTACTGAGTGGGAACCGATCCCACGTCGCCCGCACGCAAGTCCCACAAGTGGACCGCCACACTATCAGCAACAACCGGTAATAATACATCAAATTATATTTTAAAAAATAAAAATAAAGCCTACTGAATGACTATAATGATGCATATAATGACACCCCCCCCTCCCGTATTGCAGCCCTTTGTGATGATGTTGATTTGGATTCAATTAATTGTTCAGCCCTAATCTATTTTCACAATTTGAACATGAGAATATTTCTGTGCGCGACGCTAAGAGACAGTGATGTGATATGTCTCGATATATTTCCCTCCCATTAGTCCTTCTCTGATTCCCACCCCGAGCAACAATGAGTCCAACCTGCCAGATAAATGCGGCCGTAAGCGTATATGAACAACATCTCTGTACTTGGTACCAGCGGACCCC